GCTTGGCACGCGGGCGTTGCTGCTCATATCCTGTACGCTTGTTATCGTGAGCTATTTCGCTCGCCCCATGGTGGGATCCCCGCCGATATGAAATCGAGCCCCCAGGTCTTCATTCCGAAAAAGATCCAATGGTTCGAAATCGGCGAGTCCATCACCCCTCGGTCACGCGTCTGCTCAGCATGTCGAATACTGATGTGAAAGTCCTCTCGGCTGCGGTGGCGCGGGCTCTCACGGGCAAGGCTGTTTCGAGTAGACTACTTGGGCCCGCCCGGAAATGTTTTCGGGGCCGCGATATGATGGTCAAAATTGCTGAGGCCGAGCAATTTCTCCTTCATGAGCATCTGCGGGATCGTCATACGTCTGGGCTTGTCTTTACGGGCTGTGAGGCCGTTTGTCCGTCGATCTGCATTTCTCGGGTTTTGTTTGTACTTCGGCGAATGGGCCCCCCTGAGGCTATCGTTTCCTTTTTTGGGGAGCTCTATGCTGGCAGCGCGGCTGTTGCCACACGTTGCGTGGCGACATTTGGCACGTTGCCCGTCCAGAGAGGCGTTCGCCAAGGTGACCCGAGTTCGATGTTTTTTTGTTTTGGCTATTGAACCTATCTTGCATTGGATCCCCTGGAAGATCCTCGAGCATATTGGGTTAACTTTAGCGTATGCAGATGACCTCGCCTTCGGCCTGCGGCGCTTGTTTGACGGGCTAGGTCCGCTGTTTCAGCTCTCTTGCCTCCTCAAGCCGTCGATCGGCCTGTCGCTGGACTTTCCGAAGTGTCAGATCCTCATTGTGTATCGCCTGCTGTGCGAGCCGCTCCATGACCTCTGTGAAGACTTAGGCCAGCCCTTTCCCCCGTTGGAAGTTGCGACTCGCTTGAAATATTTGGAAACATGGATTGGGGAGGATGCACAGGAATTGGCATGGGAGGAAACCATATACAAGCTTCGCAAGAGGACACGCGATATTCGCGACCTTGGGCTTGGGCTTGCGCAGTCGGTTGTCTTATTTCAGACTTTCTGTGCTTCTCTCCTCTACGTTGTCCTCCAGTTTCGCGCACCGTCTCAGCGTCTTCATGCTGCATTCCGTGCATTTGCACGCCTTCTCACAGCAGGGCCGAATCATGCTATTCCATATGGCATGTGCATCTCTCTTAAGGGGTCGGGCCTCCCGCCAGGATTTCCGCACTCAGAGCTGATCGCCGCAGCTTGCCGCGCCAGATTTGTTGCTCGCTGTGATGAGCTTGCTCGCTTGAGATATCCATTTGAGTTGATATTTCGTGATGACGGTTGGTGCCCTGCTCGTCGGCTTGCTGGTCGTGTCCCAGCCCCGTACAGCTTTACCAGTACCATTCCTGGTTGTCGCTGCAGCGTGTTGACATTCGTTTTGAATGACCTGATGTTCAGAAACACTATAAAAAAAGACTATGGCCATCTTGTATATACCTGCGTGTCCCCCACTTGAGGCTCTACGTAGGAGGACTCTGGCGTGGCTCCCTGGGATGGCTGCGCAAGATTTGGTTCGAGTGGTTCGAATGCTCCGACCGATGCCTCGGAGGACGAACATGTACATTCCGCTCGCTGTGATTAGAATTCTGTCACGATCTGTGTGTACGTCGTCTCGTTTCCATTCGGCATCTCGGAAATGCTTCATGGGCTGTACCTCCTCTTCCTCTTGCGACCTCGACGATATGAAACACTACTGTCATTGTCCTTCTCTCCGGCGTCTCTTTGAGGACTGGATGGGCATTTGGACTCTTCGGTTTCCTGAGGGTTTGCCCTGGCTTCTTCCCTACCTCCTTTTTTCCAGAATGGGGCCTGACCAAAGTCTTTTTTCTGCTATACTATGTGATGCGTTTTCGTCGATGCACGATTCCTTCCGTCTGAGGGTCAGGGGGACACCTTCTCAGCACTTGAAGCCCGCCTCCGCGTCCTCGCGCGACGTCATCGCGCGGCTCGCGAGATCTGGGCCCAACATGTTCGCACCTTCCGGCGCTAGCATGCGGCAGCACGCTTCTTTCGGGACGCAGGCACCTGTGTTGCTTGTTCTCGCTGCCGTTGGCCACTGTCCCCGTGCGGGGGTGGTGGCCACGAGCTTGCGGTCGTTTGCCGTCCGCTCCGCTTTAGGCCCGAGGACTCCAAGACTTCTAGAGTGCCCGCTGGCACCCTTATTTTATATATAGTAATAATAATATTATTAATAATACATATGGTTATTATATATTACCACACGTGGGTAGGCGCCAGGCACGGGTGTTCAACATGGGGAAGCCGAGTTCTTCACATATCGAAGAGCGTTCGCGGAGGGCATTGTTGAGTCTGGCATGCTTGCACTTAGCATGCGTCTGGCATGCTTGCATGCGTCTGGCATGCTTGCACTTAGCACATGGTGCAGCGGCCAAGGGTGGCATTGAACACGCGGGCGCCGGATTCTGGGGGGAGGGGCGTTCGAACATGCGTTTGGCACGCATGAGCCTCGCATATGTTTTCGCAAGTGTAGGCGGCGCCGAGAGGAATACCCAACATTGGGCACCGGATTCTTCACACGTGCAGATACGGGTGCGTAGGCAGGGAAGGTTTTGCGTTTGCCACGGGTGACTTCGGCACGCATTTTCATTCACATAGGCGCCAAGGGCAGTATCCAACATGGGAGCGCCATACGCTTCACACTTGGAAGCACGTACGCGGAGGAGTGTGACGAACATGCGTCTGGCCCACTTGCATGTTTGGCTCGTATTTGCATGCGTGTAGGCGCGGGTATCCACCATGGGGGCGCCGGCTTCTTCAGTCTCAAAACACCTGCGCAGAAGGTGGTGTGCCGAACATGTGTTTCGCACGTGTGCATTTGGCAAGGATGTATACGCGTGTAGAGGCCAAGGGCGGTTACTCAACACGGGGGCGCCGTCTTCTCCACCAGTAAAAATACGCGCGCGGCGGGGTGGTGTCTAACATGCGTGCGGCATGAGCGTAATGGGTATTTGGTGGGGGGGTGTCCAACATGAGGGCGCCATATTCCTGACAAGTAAAGATACGCGCGCAGAGGGGGGGGGTCGTACATGCGTCTGACACGCGTGTGTTCGACACGTATGGCCTCGCATGCCGCCGCCACAGGGAGATATCCAGCATGGGGGTGGTGGATCTCTTCACGCGCGCAAATACGCACGTTGAGGGATGGGAGGGTCGAACATACGTCTGACACGCGTGCATCTGGTCTTGTCCCGTGCATGTGGTCCTGTGCACACCTGGGTGTACATGCGCGGAGGGGTGTGTCGAACATGCTCTTGGCATGCGTGCGTGCATTTGGCGCATGTTTTCCCGCGTTTAGGCGCCAAGGGGATATCCAACATGAGGGCGCTGGACTCTTCACAACCCAAAAACGTGTTGGAGTGGGTGTGCGGAACTTGCGCCTAACACGCGTGCGTTTAGCATGTCTTCACGTCTGTATGCGCCTATGGGGGGCGTCCAAAACGGGGTCTGGCACAGAGGCACGTGTGCTGGAGTCAGAGGAGGATATGCAACATGGGGACGTCGACTTCTTCACATGTAGAAATTCGTGCACGGAGGTGTTGTGTCGAACGTGCGTTCAGCCCGCATGCGCTTGGCACGTGTTTGTACGTGTGTGGGCGCCAAGGTCGGGCATCCAATTTGGGGGCACCAGATTCCCCACCCAGCGGCGGCGGGCAGGGTTCTGGTCCTGGCGGGGTTCCTGCGGGGAGACGAACGGCGAAGGAGGGGGACGAGGAGAAAGAAGGGGAGTGGCGAAACGAGGCAGGGCGGGAAGCGGAGTCTGAGGGAGGGGGGGTAAGAAGAAAGAGCGATGGGAAGAGGAGTGGGTAGGCGGGGCAGGTGGAGGGGGAGGAGGGGAGAAGGGGGAGGTGGGGAAGAAGTGGTGGACAGCGGAGGGGAAGGAGAGGGGGGGAGCGATGTGCGATCTCCGACTTCCTTGATTCTCACTGTTTGCCTGAATGTTTATTGCTCTGCTTGGTTTTGAATGCGTTTCTCTGCTTTACCGCTTTGCTGCTACCTCGCTGCTCGCACTACGGCAAGTCATGAAGTCGGGCATGCCAGTATGCCAAGGCAGCACATACTCGACGTGACATGAGATAGTCTGGCTCCATGTGCCGTGCCTGGTTCATGGACCCCTCGGTTGCGCACAGGATACAAGACACGAGAGGGAGCAGGAGGGGGAGAGGGGCGAGAAAGGGAGAGGGAGGAGGCCAGGAGGAAAAAGCGACAAGAAGGACACGGCATCTCGCTCCCCCCCCCCCCTACGCCTGGCTTAGCGTGTTGCGCCGCCGGTGCTGGCCCGCCGCGCTCGGCGCGACACGCTACTCGCCACAGTGCCCACGCGTCAACGTCGCGAGCTCTTCCCTGCCTCTCACCCCACGGAGCGAAGCGGCACGCTGCCCGCTCGCAGGTCGTAGCGTGTCGCTGGGGCCGCCGCGGCGACACGCTGAGCGCAAGCTCCCGTCCATATCCCCCCGCCCCCTCCCTTTTCCCGGATGACTCGGACTGAGTTAAGATCGGGGGCGGAAAAGAGGGGGGTGATGACTGGGGGGGGGTGGATATCATGGCGTGGGCCATGATATTTCCCCAGATTTCATGGCGCCTCTTCTTATTTCATTACGTCCCTGGCCCCCCCGCTGGGCCGCGCACATGCCGCCGGTCATGATTTGCACCCCCCCCTCTTGGACACCCCCCTCTTGGCCGCTCCCGATAAGAGGGTTTCAGATCAAGAAGCCGGAGTCGTTCTGGCTTCTTGCCAGACACTTCGGCGCGGCCGGTTCAAACCGGCAGTGTGTTCAGGCAGGCCTTTCCTAAGCATTTCCCCATACGTCTTCCGGGAAGCTCTCCAGAAGTTCCTTCGGAAATTCTCTCCAAGAGCTTTCAGACTTCTTCGAGAGGCCTTCCCATGTCCTCCTGGCGCCCTGCTATCCAGGGCTTGGATCCCACAAGTCCCTCGTCGGGCCAGCGCCTTTCCCCTCCCCGCTTCTAGCAGCCCCTGGCGAGGGGGGGCGCCTCACCGTCGGCGGCCACAACCAGACTAACCTTCGGGGCCCGGTGCAGTACGTGCACCAGGTAGGCTCGGGCTACGAGGCAGCCGCCGCAGCTCCCGCAGCGACGGGAGGAGGGCGGGGGAGGCGCCATCGTCGTCACAACGAGCTCGAGCAGAAAGGCCAAAGAGGAGGAGGAGGAGGAGAAGGAGACAGTTTGGGGCAGGGTGTGGACGGTGCGCGGATGGTGATGATGATGATGATGATGATGATGATGATGTTGTTGATACTGCTGATTATGAAGATGATGATGATGATGCTGATGCTGATGGTGATGATGATGATGATGATGCTGATGCTGATGCTGATGCTGATGCTGATGGTGATGGTGATGGTGATGATGATGGTGTTGATGATGATGATGATGATGATGACGAGAATGATGATGATGATGATGATGGTGATGATGGTGGTGATGGGGTGGGTGAGTTGGGGTGATGGTGATGATGATGGCGATGGTGATAACTGCAACCTCCGGGTAATAATCGGGACCCCCGTCACCCTTGAGAAGTGATTGTCCCGGGCCAATACAGGTTTGGTCAAAGAAGAGAGGCGGCAAGGCCGAACTTGATTATCGCCGGGAAAAGTTGCGAATCGAAGTTGCTCTCTTATTATGTTGAATAGCAAGGACTCCTAAGGATTCCGAATGATTTCCTGTGGAATCCGATGGATGTCGTAAGGAATCCAGTGGATGTCCTAAGGATCCTTGTGAATATCCTGAGGAATCCTATGGATGTTCCAAGGAATCTTACGAATGGCCGAATGATTCCTGTTGGTTTCCGGAGGAATCCGATGGATTTTCCAAAGCATCCATTTTTGAAGCAACCACATAATCTTCCGAAGGTTTCCCATGGATTTGCTAAGGCATCCTATGGAGGAATCCCGTGGATTCCCATAGGCATCCGATGGATGTCCTAAGGAATCCGATGGATTTCTTGCGGAGTCGCAAGGCAAACTTCTGGAATTCATCCGGATCCAATGTTTTTCCTGCGGGATCCGATGGATTCCCGAAGGATTTTTATAGATCGCATTAGAGAACCCAAAGGATTCCTGCAGACATCGATCGGAATCATTCGGGTGCCGATATAATTCCTCCGGATATCTAGTTGAACCCTTCGGACATCCATGGGGGACCTTCGGAAATCCATCGGATTCCGTAGGGCATCTACAGGATCCTTCTTTATAATACCATATTTGATCTATATGTATATATACACACATAAATACATACATACATACATACATACATACATACATACCTATATACATATTTATATATGTATATACATACATGTAAATTAATCATGGGAAATCTTTTGGGTTCCTTAGGACATCCATCGGATGCTGAAGAACATTCATTGGATTTCTTGTTGGAGTTCCACAGGGATCTTCCGTACATTCAAGAGGTTCCTGGGGGCATCCCTATGAATCCGTAAAACATATGTGATATTCCTTTGGACATAATGCCTTAGGAAGTTCATCGGGTCCCTTTTGTTCATCCATCGGAATCCTTAGGAAGCCATCGGCTTCCTTAGGACATCCATTGGCTTTTCCTGCGGGGCCTTATGGACTGCCGAAAGCATGTTATATATTTATTGCCTTCGGGATCCCTCAGGACTCCTGAATCATTCGCTCGGGATCCTTAGGATGTCCATATGATTCCTCAGGTGATCTGTGTGGATCCTTTGGAAATCCATCGGGGTCTTTCGGAAATCCATCGAATGCTCTAGGGGATCTACAGGACCCCTTAGATAATATATTCATATATATATATGTGTGTGCGAACCCTGGAAGATCCATGGGCTTCATCCATCGGCTTTCTGGAGGAAATCCATCGAATTCCTTTTTGGAGATCCATCTGGTTTCTCAGTAAATTCGTGAGATTCCTGTGGACATCCATGATATGTCTTTGGATGGGCATTTATAGGATTCCGTAGGAAAGCCACGGGATTCCCTAGGACATCCATACGAGTCCCGAGACAATCCGCACGACCCTTTAGGGAATCAACCGGACCCCGTGGGAAATCAATAGGAACCCGTAGGACACCCATGGAGTTCCTCAGGGAACCCATCAGAGTCCATCGGGAAATGCATCGGAGCCCTTAGGCACTCCATAGGAGTCATGAGGCAATCTGTAAAACTCCTTAGGATATCCGTGGGAATCCTTAGGACATCCACCAGCTGCCGTAGGAAATCAATAGGTTCTGTTGGAAAACCACATGATTCCTCAGGAAATCCGTAGGGTCCCTGGGGGAATCCATAGGTGTCCTTCGGAACTCCGAAGGACCCTTTCTAGGACATTCGTCGGATCTCCCCAGGAAGCCATACGAATCGTTTGGAAATTCACAGGGGACTTGAGGACATCCATCTGGCAATTCGTAAGGTATCGGGTTTATTATTTGTGAAAGCTTTTAAAATCGCATGCCAACTTCAAAATCCAATCTGCCGCCGTTAAGATTTCCACTTTTGTCTGCCAGGACAACATGTGGACTGTTCGATTTTGTTTAAAAAAACAGAAATACGCATGTTAATTTCAAAACCCAGTCGACCAACATTATAAGTACCTTTTCTTTTCCATGCCAACATGGCGACTTTTCCCTTGTGGTGAATACAGATATCGCCACGCGTGCGCGCGAACGCGCGCGTGGCGAGTTGTGTAGCGTCCACAACGAACGAGTCTCCATGTTGGCCTGGAAACTAAAGTGGACCCTTAACAGTGACCGATGGGATTTCGCGTGGCACGCCCGCGCCTGTGTCACCCGATCACACACGCGCGCGCAGACACGCGCGCGTTGCGCGTTGCCCATAATGGAGAAGTCACCATGTTCGCCTGGAAACTAAAGTGAACCCTGATCGGTGACCGATCTGGTTTTGAAGTTAGCATGTGTGTTTGACGTTTTCAAAATAATCCATCATATTTGGATGTCCTACGGATCCCGATGCATCTCCAAACGAACCAGATGGCTTGCCCACGGAATCCAATGGAGTTCGGATGGGCCCCCATGGATTGCTTCAGGATGCCCATGGGGCTCTGTCCAAGAATCCGACGGGGCTCCTCTGGAATCCAATGGATTCCCTCCGGAACCCGATAATGCCCGAAAGGGGTCCGATAGATTTCCGTTGGAAGCCGATCGATGTCCGATGGATGTCCGAAGAAACCCGATGGGTGTCCGAAGGATTCTTGTTGATTTCCAGAGGAACCCGATGGATTCCCCAGCCCTAAGGAATCCCACGGATGTCCCGAGGCCGCCGATCGATTGTCTGGGGAATCCGATAGCCTTCCGAAGGCATTTGTTGGATTACCTCGGGGACCCGATAAATCTCCGAATGGTCCGTGTAGATTTAGTTGTGGATATTATGGCTTGTCTCAGAACTCCATGTTGGATTGCCTAAATAACCCGATGGATCTCCTCGGGAACCCAATAATGTCCGAAGGGATCCCATGGCTGTCTTAAGAGTTCATACAGATTCACACAAGTGTCTTATGGATTTCCGAAGGAATCCGTTGGATTGCCTGAGGGATCCGAAGGATCTCCTCAGGGTTCCCAATGGGTATCCAAAGGGCGCGCATGGATTTCCGAAGGGCGCCGATGGGTGCCCGAAGGATATCTACAGATTTCCCCAGGAATCCCATGGGCGTCCTACGGCATCTTTGGGATTGCCAAAGGGATCCGATGGATTGCCGATGGGCTCCTATGGGTTTGCTAAGGAATAGAATGAGTCCCCGACGGATTTCTATGATTTCCTGCTGGGTCCTGTTGTTTCCAGCAGGAATCGCATGGGTTTCCTCTGGGCTCTTACTGATGTCCTGAGGAATCTTCGATATTTTCAGAAAGGAGCGCTCTTCTTCCTTCTCCATGCGCGCCCAGCCTGAACTTTTTATCCTCGCTGTTTTCTATCGCCACAAATGGGCCGCCATGGGCGCCTACCCGCGCGTGGGTTGTCGAAAAAGGTTTGAACAAATAATTGAGTTTACGCATCAGAAGAAAAAACTTATGGCCCCGAACCGAAGTTGCTTCCTAAACCGATCCTGAGGCTCCTCCCTCTCGTCCCCCCCCCTGTTGATTGCCTGAAGGACTATTTAGGAGTCCCCATGGATGTCCAAGGGATTCCTGTGGATTCCTTAGGAATCCCACGGATTTCCTTCGGGCCCATATGCATATCCGTCGGAATCCGATGCATTTCTCTACGGAATCCATTTGGAGTTCTGAGGCATGCCGTGGATGTTCTAATGTATCCAATTACATTCCTAAGGCTACATCTAGATTCTAAGGAACCCCCCTGGGAGTCCGAAGGAATTCTACGGATTTCCGATTCCTCAAGGAAGCACATGGAGGCCGCGAGAAATCCCATGGGTTTCCGACGGAAGCCGGTGGCGCTCGAGCGCGTCGCTGGGGCTGGCTGCGCGTTGCCAAGCGCTTCGCTGGAGCTGCGCATTGCCGAGCTCGTCGCCGGCGCTGCGCGCCCATTCGGAATCTGATAGATTTCCGAAGAAGTCCGACGGATGCATTAGGGAACCAGATGGATTCCTTCAGGGCTCCCATCAATTTCGTTGGACCCTGCGGGGCCCCAATGGAGCCCCGCGGAGGCTCTGGGGGGTCGCGCGGGTGTCCAGACGGTTCCTATGGATTTCCGACGGAACTTCATGCATGTCGCAAGGATTTCTATGGCTCTTAAAGAAGCTTAGGGATGTCTTGAGGAATCCGATGTATGTCTATCTCCTCCTTCCACCCCCGCCCCCTCCGATGCTGTCTGAGGCTCGCGAAATTCATGCAAGCGTCTCTTGCCGAGCGCCACTGGCAGCTCAGGCTTTGCGAGCTCATCCAGCAGGCGACCTCGGCGTCCGCATCCGCCATCTTCTAGTTTTTTTTTGTTTGGATTATTATTCCTCGTTTTATTATGATTCTTCTTCTTTTTTCGAGGTCCCCCGGGAGATCGCCAGCCAGAACGAGAAGGTCATCGAGAAGCTCAGCTTCTTCAGTGACACAGCGGGCGTAGCCGAGATGCGCCAGTGCCACGCCGGCGCGCAAGGCGCGGGCGCGATTCGCATGGCGGCGAGCAACTTCAACGCCGAGAACGCGCTCTGATCCTCGAGCGCTCAGCAAGCCGTCCTCGAGATGGCGCGCAGGGGCGGGGGCCTCTAAGCGACCGATCATGGAGTCGTCTTCCAGGGCCAGGACAAGAGGCGCGCCGAGGTGGCAGTCGCCCTGTTCGTCCAGGACGCACGTCGAGCAACCCATGCTCTGGCGCGACAAATTCGAGGGCCACAGCGAGCAACCCGAGAGACTTTTCTGGCCGGTGCCGAGTTTCCGCGAGAAGATGCTCGAGCTCGCGCAGACCGCGGGTCCCGTGCCGAGCGCGTCCGCTCGAATCTCGGTAAGATGAACGAGAGACTCCTGGCTCTCCATAAGCTGGTCGTGCCTTTCAGCGAGTCCTTCGAGCCGATCGCCGACGAGGGCGTCAGTTGCGGGGGGGAACTCTACGAGGAGATGCGCGACAGTATCAAGCAATCTGTCGCGCATGCCACCGGGTGCTGCACGGTGGAGTCGAGCTTCAACGCACGCATCATCGCGACCGAGCGCGCGGTCAAGCGGCGCCCCCGCACCAGGCGCGCCGCGGGAAGGCGCATCGAGGTCTCCCGGGGCAAGCGCATGTCCAAGCGCCAGAAGTTCGACGCGAAAGAATATATGAGGAGCGCGAGCACCGCGACCAGAAGTGCATCGAGGGTCACTGCCAGCTGGATTTCCCAGCCGTCGTCGAGGTCGCCAATGAGCGCGAGCAGCTGCAGAAGAAGCGCGCGGCCGCGAAGCGCGAGGGCGAGGCCGGGGGCGAGCCGGGCGCCGAGGAGTCGAGTGCGCAGCGCGAGCGGCGGCCGCGCGAGGCCTGGCGAGGCGAGCGCCTCGCGCAATTTTTCGAGAGGTCTTCCCCGAGCGGGTTGCGCTTCAAGCGCCTTCCCTCTCGCAGAAGAGTAGCATCGAGCGCCCCATTAACGACGCGCCATCCTCGACCCTCGGATCGAGCATCTTCGATTTGGGATCCGAGCATTTTCGGGCCCATCGGGTCCTAGATCCGAGGGCCGCCCAGCTCGGATCCAGGATGGAGGATGCTCCATCCGAGGACTGAGGATCGAGGGTTCCTTATATTGGCGCAATCAACGACGCTCGATCCTCGACCCCCGGATCGAGCATCTTCGATTTTGGATCCGAGCAGATTCGAGCATCTCTGATCCTAGATCCGAGGATGCTCAGCTCGCATCCCACATAGAGGATGCTCGGCCCGAGGATCGAGCATCGCGGATTCTCTAAATTTGCGTCATCAACGACGCTCGATCCTCGACCCTCTGATCGAGCATATTCGGTTTTTGGATCCGAGCTAATTCGAGCGTTTCGGGCCCTAGATCCGAAGATCGCCCAGCTCGGATCCAAGATAGGGGGTGCTCAGTCCGAGGGTTGAGGACCCCTATCCTGGTGCCTTCAACGACGCGGGATCCTCGACCCTCGGATCGAGCATCTTCGATTTTGGATCCGAGCAGGTTCGAGCAACTCTGATCCTTGATCCGAGGATCGCCTCGCTCGAGTCCAAGATAGATGATGCTCGATCCGCTCGATCCGAGGATCGAGGATCGAGCATCATTGATCGTCGATCGTTCTCGTCGCCGCACTCGGGCCCAGGCCGCCATCGACGAGGCTCGGTCTTCGATCCCCGGATCGGGAATCCTCGTTTTTGGTCCCAAGCATCTTCGAGCACCTCGGATCTTATATCCGAGGATCGCCTAGCTTGGACTCGGGGACCTGGTGTTTTCGATTGATCCGAGGATCGAGGCTCGAGCCTCGGCGATCGTCGATCGTCCTTGTTGTCGTCGTCGGGCTCAGGCCGCCATCAACGAGGCTCGGTCCTCGAATCTCGGATCGAGGATCCTCGGTCTTCTTGGCCCCGAGCATCTTCGAGCACTTCGGATCCTAGATCCGAGGGTCGCCCAGCTTGGACTAGAGGGTTTTGGGTCCTTGGTCCGAGGATCGAGGATCGAGCCTAGGCGGTCGTCGATCGTCGTCGTCGCCGTCGTCGGACCCAGGCCGCGAGACGGCAAAACGAGCCGCAAGCAACAACAGCAACAACAACAACAGCAAAAACATCACACCTGCAGCAAGCAACAGCAGCAAACAGCACGCCAAGAGCACGCAACAACAACAACAACAACAGCAGCAACACCAACAACAACAACAACATCAACCATAACAAATGCAACAGCAGCAACCAGCAACAGCAACACCAGCAGCAGCAACAGCAACAGGCATTCCTAAATAGTCAAATGGGATTTCTTGGGGGCCGGGTGGATTTCCGAACGATACATACAAAGTTTCAAAGGGCTTTTAGAAATCCACCAGAGATGCAGTACATGTTCCAACGAGTTTCTATAATATTTCGGATGTTTCCTATGGATTTCCAAAACAATATTCTTCCCCCCCTCTTCTTTCCTTCTCGGGCGACGTGGGGCCCACTGGAGGCCATCGTGGGACATTTTATGCGCTTTGACTTCTGACGACCGGGCCTCTCCACACCCTGGGGCTGGGGTGCGGGTCCTCCAACGGGAAGGTAGACGTTGGAAGAATTCATTCCTGAAACCACCTACGCCCGAAGGGCTGGTGGGACCATGAGGACGTTTCTAGGACCGCGGTGTCTGATAAGCTGAGTTGGCCAGACTCTGGAGCGAGTGCAGACTCGCACCCCTCTTTCTGCGACGCGTTGCGGTACAAAGCCAGGGGTGGCAGCGGCAGTATGGAGTGACATCCACATCGCCGCAGTTGAGCTTTCACATCAGGAGGGCGGCGAACAAGTCCACATCGTAGCCATCCGCACGCTGGAATGCAATATTGCCCACTTTGGCAACATCATCCCAGGCCGAAGTCAGGCTCGCTGCAACAAAGAGGCGACGAGGCCTGGATACCAGAGGCACGCGATCGGCATGCCGTGTTGCACCGTCAGCCATTGAGCCACCTATAATGATGTCCTGAGGTACGGGTGGAGAAGGGTGGAGAAGACCCCCGCACGCAAGTCGTATACACACAGTGGAGCCGGAGGGCACAGTTGAGATGAAACAGGGGCGCACATAGAGGCACAGTTGAAACGAACTCCCCGCTCGGCCCAGAATGTCCAGGCATTGTGGGGCGTACTGCTTGCTCGTGTGTAGCGTGTTGGGAGAAGCGCGCTTGTGTCTTCGCTGGGCACCGCCACTCTTCCTCCACTCCACTCCCACCCAACCACTGGCCCCGGCGCACTTCGGGCCTGACGGACAAACGATTGCGCTCAGAATCATCACGGCCAAGATCACAATCAGCACAAGTTTCGTCTATATCACTTCCGCAAAGTCGGATTCGGTCTCGCATTGATCTTCCCGCTGCAGCGTTCCTGCAGGTCTTGGGTCGCGAGCCCGAACTCCTTCAAGAAACCGTCGCCGCTCTCCAAGGAGCTCGCATTATTCTAGGTTCTCCATCCGTCTCTCCAGTCTCCTAGGCTCTCCACTTGCTCGTGCATGGGACCGCACCAGCGGTTTCGCAGCCAGGTCGTACACTTGGCAGGCAGAACTTGTTACTTGGACGGGCCATGCGCCACTTCTGTGTTTGCTTGCTTCACCTTGCCGTTCGACCTGGCATTTTTCAACCGGAGGCGCCATCTCCCTCTAGACCTCGCGCACCTGCGCTGGGCCCGCGTTTGTCTTGAAAGCATGGCCGGCAGCTCGTCCGGCCGCGAGGGCTCTCCGGGCACCGGCGCCAGAGGCATGCGTCTCCAAAGCGGAATGGTCGGTTTCCATGTTTGGGAATCGGACTTCCGCTGTTACCAACCGAAACATGCCATCGAGCAAATCATCTGCGTCACTTTTTTTGTGCCCAGTGCCCCTTCTTTGTGGAATGCCAGCGTATGAGGTACTCGGGCTTCAGTCATGTTCGCTCTCGTCCTTATCCTTGCCGTCCTCGTTGTCCTGATTTCCCACCTCCTCTTTCAGGAGGAGAAAAACACAGACACAATGAATCGTCGACTCCCAGGAGAATATAGGAAAATATGGAAAGTGGGGGGGGGGGAGACGAACACCCAGAAAATATGGATGGAAAACTATGAGAATTTTCGGGATTTGTATGTGTATGTATTTGTGTTCTTGGGCCCCTTCAGTCTTGCGGCAGGAGGGATGTGCGGGAGCCGCCGACCCACCGTCCCAGAGTTGCTGCTGAGCGAACCGAACTTGCCCAACATGCACTCGGCCTAGTGCCGAAAGAAGACCGAGCCAGAACACTTTGAGGAGGACGATAAGGACGACTAGAGAGGAGGCGGAACAGGGGGAGGAGGAGGCGGACGGACCTATTCCCTCCTGCTCCTTCTCTTCGTAGCCATGCTGGCCAAGCAGCTTTGGTTCACGCCGTCTTTGTGTGCTCAAGCAGTTTCTGCCTCGATGATTATTCTGGTGAACGGCGTCCGGCGACTATTCGACATTACGTTTGTTGATTCCATGTTGCCCGACCGAAGTGGATAATGGTAACGCCAGCGGGCCTGGCCCTGCATGTGTCCCGCGAAGCATCCGGTTCATGCGTGAGAGATCCACGCCATTACACTTTGACTATAAGCACATTTGGAAGACGCAGGCAGTGGCAACGTGCGCTGACGCTTCTCAGCGACATGATTGAAACGAACGTGCACGCCGACGTCATCTGTTTCAGCGCTGGGATTAGCGCATGCTCGAAGGGAGGACAGTGGCAGCAGGCCCTGCTGTTGCTGAGGAAGATGGGGGAGGTGAAGGTAGAGCCGGACGTCTTCTTACCTACATTGAAGGGACATTTGCGTTCGAGCAGGGCCTGGGGACGAAATATCTCCAGTACCACCGTAGCCGTCCTGAGAGCCTCCGGAGTGTCCCAAAGCGACTTCCCCAAGACGGCTCCAGGACACTCAGAAGAGCCCCAAGACGACCCGACAGGGCTCCAAGACTGTCGAAGCTGGCCTCGGTACAGCCGGAGAAGCCCCCAAGGCGCCCCAAGAGCGGAGCGCTCCCAGAGGGCTCCTGAGATAGCCTCAAGAGCTACAAAATTTGATCTTCCATAAGGGTTTGAACAATTTTTTGGTTGATCGCCTTTTCGGCTTCCCGACCGCCAGCGACAGCGACAGGGGCCCTCTAGATGGCCCGAGACGGCCCAAGGGGCCCCAAAAGGGGGTCCCGCCTGAGACCCCAAACGTGTCTCTGACAGCTTCCATGAGGCCCCTATGCGGGGCCCAAAGGTATACACCACCACCACCTCCGTCATCGCCCTTCTCTCCCAGGAAAGAGGAGAGGAAGATGAGGGCGGAGGAGGGAGGGGGATTCGACGTGATGGTGGTGTATATTCTTTGGGCCTGCACCCCAAGAGGCCCCAAACTGGCCCAGGAGAGGCCCAAGAGGAGCCCCGAGAGAGGCTCCAGAAGCAAACACCCAGGCTGCCCATCAGTTCTTCAAGGGCTCGGCTTGCTCTCCTTTTCGGGTTCTCGGCCGCTCAGGATCCAGGAGGGAAAAAACACCCAGACACAACTGATCGTCGATTTCCCAAAAGTTATGGGACAATATGGGAAGTGAGGGGGAAGACGAAAATCCCAACAACAAAATTGGAAAATATGGGGGGTCCTTTTATCTGTGTGGATTCATCTGTGTGTCCCAGGGCCCCTTCAAGGATGGCCTCAGGGGATGTCCTCCTCGGCCTTGGACGGCCCAGTGGAGGCCCTCGGGAGGGCCACAGAACAGCCCCAGAAGGCCCCGAGACGGCCCAAGAAGCCGCCAAGACGGAGGAGGAGGAGAAGGAGGAGGAGGGGGAGGAGGAGGAGGAGGAGGAGGAGGAGGAGGAGGAGGAGGAGGAGGAGGAGGAGGAGGAGGAGGAGGAGGAGGAGGAGGAGGAGGAGGAGGAGGAGGAGGAGAGGAGGAGGAGGAGGAGGAGGAGGAGGAGGAGGAGGAGGAGGAGGAGGAGGAGGAGGAGGAGGAGGAGGAGGAGGAGCAGAGGGGCCTTTGGCCCCGGGTGCCGATGCAGGTGCAGGGGGGGGGGGTGTTCGGGCTCTTCTCCTCGACCCAGAGAGGCCCCGGAGGATCGGGCGAAGAGAACTATGCACATGCATCGATTCTGGCCAGGCCCATCTTAGGCCCAGGATCGGTGCATATGCTTTCCTGGCCAAGGCAGGAGGGCAGATGCATCGATCCTGGGCTCAGTATGTGCCTGGCCAGAATCCGTGTATATGCATAGTTCTCTCTACAAGACGGTTCCAGAGAGCCCCAGAGGCTCCCAGACGTCGCGAAAACGGCCCTCAGACGGCCCCAACTAGGCCACAAGAGCGACCGAGGAGGGGCCCGTGACCCCAACCACGCGCCCTCAAACGACGCGAGCCACATGTTGAAGAGGAGCCACCCTCAATTCGTGAAACACGTATCATGTTTGAAGACGAATGTGCGCGGCGCTAAGGCGAGAGCCACATTTTGAACACGGTTCGCCCTCAATCCGTGAAATTCTTGCGATGCGTTAGAGAGAGTATGCGCGGCGCTAAGGCGAGAGCCACATTTTGAAAGCGATCTGCCCTCCATCTGTGCCAATGGCGCAGGTAGCCAGGTGGGAAGATTCCGCCCGGAGGGGAAATCATGGTCCGGCAGGAGGGTGGGAAAAGGGGTAGAAGGAGGAGGAAGAGGAGGAGAGGAGGAGAGGAGGAAGAGGATGGAAAAGGAGTAGAGGGAGGAGGAGGAGGAGGAGAGAGGAGAGGAGGAGAGAGGAGGAGAGGAGGAGGAGGAGGGGGAGGAGGAGGGGGCATCTTGGGAGCCTCTGGGGGCACTCTTGGGGCCTTCTGGGAGCTTCCTGGGAGCCTCATGGAGGCATCTTGGGGGCCTCCTTGGGCCTCTTGGGGGCCTTTGGGGTCTTCTCGGGGGCCTCTTCGGCCGTCATTCCTGGCCCGCCTGGCGCCGTCAGAACCGTCTTGGGAGCCTCTCCAGGCCGACTTGGAACCCCCTTGGGGTGCTCCAGGGCCGTCTTGCAGGCAATTTTGGGCGTCTTGGAGGCCTTTTGGGTCGTCTTAGGGCCCTCCTGGGGGGTCGTCTTGGGGGCCTCTTGGGCAGTTCTGGGGCCGTTCTGGAAGCCTTTCGGGCGATCTGTCGGGGCTCTTGGGCCGTCTCGGGCCGTCGGAAGGCCGAAAAGAAGCAAGCGCCAACACCCTTCAAACACCAAAGGAAAATCAATGATTGTTGCGTCTTCGGGCCTTCCTGGAGGGCTTCTTGGAGGCCTCTTGGGCCGTCGTGGAGGCCTCTCGGAGGCCTCTTGGGCCGTCTTGGGCCATCTTAGAGCCATCTTGGGCTGTCTTGGTGGGCTCCTGGCCCGCCTGACGCTGGCGGAAGATGTCTTGGGGCCTCTCTGGGCCGACTGGCAACCCTCTTGGGGTGCTCCAGGGCCGTCTTGGAAGTCATCTTGGGCGTCTTGGAGGCCTCTTGGGCCGTCTTAGGGCTTCTTTGGGACGGCCGAAGACAGTCCAAGAGGGCCTCCAAAGCGGGCCCCGAGCGCTCGAAGACGCCCAAGACAGGCGCCCGACGGTCCAAGAGGCCACCAAAATGCTCCAAGCGGGCTCCAGAGAGATCCCCAGGAGAGCCCGAACAAGGAAACATCGCCCCAATTCCTAAGGAAAACATGCATTTCAGGAGTTCCTGTGCTTTTCGTCTGCCAGACAGGCCCTCAAGATCGTCCCAAGACGCCTCAGGAGGCTGCTAGAAGGGCCCCAATACGGCTCAAGACTGCGCCAGGACGGCTCATCAGTCGCCCATGGCGGCCCCAAGAGGGGGCCAGGACATGGTGGGAGCGCTCACGAGGGGCCCCAAGAAGGGGCCAGGAGGGCCCCAAGAGGGCCCCGACAAGGCCCCATGACGCATGTGCTTGGGTGCCCCTCTCGCAAGCCCAATATGCATATCAAATACATGCGGTTAGGGGCCCTCTTTGGGCCCCCTGGGGGCGCTCTTACGGCCCTCTTGGGGCCTTCGGGCCCCTCCAAGACAGGGCCAGTTGCATTCTGCCACAGAAAGGCCTCTCCTGGCAGAAGGGTGGGCCCGCACCCGGCGGCGTCCTGGGGCTTGGAGCCCTCTTGGGGGCCCTCTGGGGGCCCTCTTCGTGCCCTCTGGCACGACGGCCCCAAGACGGTCCCGACACTGCCCCAGGGACGCCCGAGCTGTTCAACTTCGATGAGCTGTTCACCCAGGGTGTGCGAGTCCCAGGTTCAGCACGCCGTGGATGTATTCCACGGGTTCGCACCAGTCAGCTACGGCGCTGGGATCGGCGCGTGCGAGAAAGGCGGGCGGTGGCAACAGGCCCTGCGGCTACTTTGCGAGATGTGGGAGACGAAGCTGGAGCCAGACGCTGCCTGTCCTACCCGGGCGACGAAATCTATACATATCCACTGCTCCCTTGTCAGGCCCACCCTGAACCCGGGAGCTGTGTATACGCCCTCCTGGCCGAGCCAGGAGGGCGTGGCGTATGCACCGCTGCTGGGTTCAGGATGGGCCTGGCCAGGGAGCAGTGGATCTGTATAGATTTCGTCGCCCTGTCCTACGATTGCTGGAAGCAGCGCGTGGTGCGCGGCGGTGGTGGCAGGGCCCAGGCGGGGCCTGCCGGGAAGGTCCGCGGGGAGGGCTTGCGCCTCCCGGGCGGCCCAAGCTCAGGAGGGAAAGAAACACACAGACACAATGAATCGTCGACTCCCAGGAAAATATGGGAAAATATGGGAAGTGTGGGGGAAGACAAAAGCCCAGAAAATATTGGAACATATGGGGAATAGTTTTATTTGTGTGTATTTATTTGTGTGTCCCAGGGCCCCTTCACAAGCGAGTCCAGGAGGCCTTCATGTTCGCCGAAGATGCTTCCGAAATGGCACATGGCGTCCAGACGGCCTCCGAGGGCCCAAGACAGCCCAAGACGGTCTCCAGATGGCCGCAGTATCTTCCACAAGGCTCCCAGAGCGTTCCAAGAGTGCGCCCAGCAGGGCCTTCAGGTGTGAAAATAAGGGTTTCAGCCGCGTTTTCTAGCATTTCGAGCATATCCGACTTCGGGCCTCTGCAGCGTCCACCACGGCCCAACAGCTCCCAAGATCGCCCCAGATTGTACCAAGAGACCTCCGAAGAGGATCCCAACGCGGCTCCAGACAGCCCCTAGACGGCCCAAGACGGCCCCAGAGAGCCCCAAGACGGCCCAGGAGGCGCCCAAAACGATCCAGGATGGCCCAGAGATGGCCCACTAGAGCCCCAGGTGCATGCCAAGACGGCCCCAAGAACGCTCCCAGAGAGACCGAAGAGGCCCCCCAACGGATGCTACAATGCACCCCTCTGTTATTGCATCCGTCGGGTGCTTTCCGAGGGCCCTCTTGGGGCCGTCTTCGGGCCTGGTCGAGCCCCTCTTCGGATAATTGTCGAGGTCCTCCGGGTGCTCCCAGAACCTCCTGAAAGGCTGCAAAACGGCCCAAGAGAGCTGCAGGACAGCTCAGGAAAAGCCCCAAGATGGCCCAAGAGGCGCCCAAAACAACACAAGATGGCCCAGAGATGGCCCCGCCGCGTTTCCGTGCCAGGGCACTTGCGGATTTGCTCCACGGGTACACACTAGTCAGCTACAACGCTGCGATCAGTGCGTGCGGCAAATGCGAGCAGTGGCAGCAAGCCCTGTCGCTGTTCAGTGAGATGCGGGAGGCGAAGTTGGAGTCCGACGTCATAAGTTACAGCACCGGGATCAGCGCGTGTGAGAAAGGCGAGCAGTGGCATTTGGCCCTCTTGCTGCTGAGCCAGATGCGGGAGGCGAAGCTGCAGCCCGACGTCTTCAGCTACAGCGCCGGGATCAGCGCCTATGAGAAAGGCGGGTGGTGGCAACGTGCCCTGTGGCTACTTAGCGAGATGTGGGAGGAAACGTTGGAGCCCGACGTCATCCGTGCTGCGATTCCGACAGCAGCTCGTCGGAAAGGGATGATGGTGGCCAAAGTTGTGGGGGGGGCGCCTTCCGCACCAGGGCGGCCCTCAGGCCCAAAGACGGCCCAGCACAATTCCAAGAGGCCCCCCACGCGGTCCCGGAGAGTTCGAAGAGGGCAAGTCGACCTCCGCAGGCAGAAAATGCTGGAAGGGTTGTTCGTTGGCTTTCAGGGCATTTCGGCCCAGGATGGCTTGAGGAATGTTGCTAAGGGCTAGAGTTTAGTAGGCCTTGGATGCGGCAGGCATGTTGTCTCATCAGTTTCGGGAAAGGGAACTTGTGAGACGACATGCGGCAGAGCAGCTGTAACGAACACTGCGCTTGATGACAGCGAGACGGGGATCAAACGGGGGGACAGGACAGCGGGATGCTTGGGGGGTCCCGGAGCCCGAGGGGCGCTCGGAGTCGGCTCGAAAACGATCCTGGCCTCGAGCAGAGTCTGTGGTTTGCACCGGGGAGGCCATCAGGGCACTCTAAACAAAAGAATGTTGGAACACAGGTAACCACCCAAAGCAACGCCGCCGAATACCAGCCAGAAGCGACGCATGTCGTCGACGCCAGTTCACACGGGTTTTCAAAGTCTGCTTATACCTACGTGCATACATGTAGAATGTACTATCTGTAGACAGATGTATCTACGCCGACCGACGAGGCCTGGGGATCCGGGGTAGCGCCCCCGAGTCGCCATGGGGGTGCCGCGGTTTTCTGTGGCCTTCCCAGAGCGGCGCAGAGGCCTCCAAGACGGCCTCAGATGCCCCCAAGACGGCCGAGTTTTCCACAATGACGGCTTGAGAGACGCTCAAGAGAGCCCCACGACTGTCCCAGAGCGCTCCAAGCGTGCCCAAGATGCTTCATGACCGCCGAGGAGGCCCCCAAGACCGCCCAAGAGTATCTCCAGATGCAGTATTCATTGTGATGGGCCTGTTTTCCACCACCACCACCATAAGTTGGAAGTGGGAAGGAGGAGGAGGACGACGAAGAGGAGGAGGAGGACGAAGAGGAGGAGGAAGAGGAGGAGGAAGAAGAAGAAGACCCCCTCTCCCTCCAACTTACGGTGGTGGTGGTGGTGGAAAACAGGCCCATCACATTGTGCTTCCGAAGGTTTTGTGCAAGTTGTTTGTGTTATCGCGTTTGCGGCCTTCCCGCGCCGCCCAGTTCGGACCGAGGAGCCTCCCCCGTCGCCCGAAGGCGGCCTGAGAGGCCCCCAATCTAGGGCTCCAAGATGGGGTCGGAGCAGATGGGGTCGGAGGATCGCGCCGCATCGCCGATGCATCGGCGATGCGGGTCGATGTGCAGCCCGACTTGATTCACGCCGACGTTGCCGATGCACCGCCGACGTCGACGATGCATCGCCGGTGCATCGCCGATGCATCGCCGATGTATCGGCGATGCGGGGCGACCCTCCGACCCCATCTAGTCCGACCCCATCCAAGAGGTCTGTACAAGAGCGAGCGCTCCAAGACGGCGCCAAGGCCGCTCCAGAAAACCCCAAACCGACTGGCCCCAGAGAGCCCCCAAATACGCCGCCGCAGGCCATCAAGAGGACGTCCAAGCGAGCCCCAAGAAGCAAACATGATTTGTTTCCCGACGTTTTTGATTACAGTGGAAACCCATGCCAAGAAACACCCTGTTTGCCTTTAGGGTGCCCTGGGTTGCCTAGATTTCGATGGTTTTGCTATGGAGAGCGTGACGGTCCCACACCAAAAATCAATTCAATGGGCGTCGTGGGGTCTCAGGGTTGGATTTCTTGTGGACGGTTTCTTGTGGACGAGCTCCTACTGAATGGCTTTGCCTTCTCGCCGTTCCTGGTTTCCGACGCCCCAAGACGGTGTTTCCTGGTTCGTCCCCAGCACGCCGTGAAGGCGGAGAAGGGCCCTCCCAAAGCGCTCCAAGGCAGCCCAATAATGCCCCTACGATAGTTTCGCGTCGTGTCGACTGGCGGCGTGCCTGCCGCCGGCGTTCAACATTAAACGCCGCCGGCGTTCCAGAATCGATCGATGTTGAACGACTTGCCGTTTTGGAGATGGTCGATCGTTCAAGGTTGAACGATCCCTGCGGCGAGAGAAGCCAACGGCAGGGTCGTCACATCACGAACCTGCCGTACACGGACAAAGAGGGCCCCAGGAAGTCCCAGCAGGGCCCCAAGAGATATCCCAAAGCGCCAGGAGACAGCACAAGGAGGCTCCCAAGACGGCCGAAGAAGACTCTGAATTGCTTCTCAGCGTTTCGAGATTTTGTTTGAACGATCTGAGGTGCAAAGACAGTACTCCAAAAAGCTGAAGCTTTAGCATGTCCCCGCCCAGCCCCCAACATTTGTGCTCCTCTGTCGCATGAGACATTTGATACTTGGTGTCACGCCATCTGTTACTGCTCAGGTTGTAAGACGCCGAAGACCTACGGCTGCCCGTTCCAGTATGTATATCCCCCTGGCTTTGGTCCCTGTGCTCTCCAGGTGTGCGTGTGTGTGTGTGTGTGCCAGATCGAGATTCCGCTCCCGCCCCCGAGGATGCCTCGTGGGTTGCCCGACGTGCTCCTCCTCTCCCCTGGACCTGGACGGCTTGAAACATTACCTGTGCATGTTGCTCTCTCCTTCGTGATCTTTCTCTCGTTCCTGGATGGGCATTTGGGCTCTGAGGTCCCCTGAGGCTTCGCCCTGGCGTTCCTCTTTCCTTCTGTTTCACGGGATGGGCCCCAGCCAGAGTTTTCTAGCCGCCATGTTACGCGATGCGTTTCTCAGCATGCACTCTGCCAGCCGCCACCACTCCTGGGACGCCGACCGAGCATTGTAAAGCCCGCCACTGTGTGCAGCTTGCTTCTTAGACGTAAGCCTTTCTGCTGCCCGTGCACTGCCCTGTTCTCCCGGACCTCCCTTCAAGCAATGTTTGCAAAGTCGGCGTGAACAACGAAACGACAAGGTACCCGAGACGTACCCAGACGCCTCTCCACGCGAGGCGACTCGTTCTATGAACGTTCCATACAGAAAAGCGCAGCACCCAGGGAGTTGCGAGGTCTCAAATGAGTCCGTTCACTCCCCGGCTCCGCCGTGCCCCCCAGGAGACGACGAAAAGGGCGACCGTTGTACAGTTCGCCCCCCCTCCAGGGAGCTGCGAGGTTTCAAAGGTGTCCCTTCATTCCCTGTTTCCGCCATGCCCCCCCCAGGAGCCCATGAACGTGGCGACGGTTGCGCAGCCCGCAGCCCTGCCAACATCACACACAGGTCTGGGTTGTCTACCGATGCTCGCGCCCCGTGGCGCGCTCGAGGACCGTCGCTGGCTGACCTCAGGATTTTCCTCGCTCCGCGCTCCCGCAGCCTTCGGGCTGCCTCGTGCTAGTCTCACGGAAGCTCTCTGTCAAGTTAATGCGCCAGTCTTTGTATAGTTGCCGTTGGGATGCAATTGTTTATCTTGCTGGTTCCATTCCGTTGGCATGGTCCTGTTGGGTCAGCCGCGTGGCCGTTTAGGCTTCAACTGATTTTTGTGTACCGTGCGCTGCTCTTGCTGTTGTTGTGGTGTGATGCCTAGTTGACTAGATTAATGGCCGCTTTGGCCATGCAAGGATGCACGCACGGCGTCATTGTTCGTCCCGCTCGCTTCGCTTCTCCTCCTCCTCCTCCTCCTCTCGCTTCGTCATGGGCAGGAACTTCACGCAGCACATCATGCGTCTGGACGCGGAGATGCGTCGAGTTTAGCCTCCTGGAGAACGCCAACGAGCTTCACCCCATCTTCATCATCTTCGATTTCGCAGCGGCCTTCCCATCACTTGGCAGAACGTGGCTCTTCAAGGCGCTGCGCCGCTTCGGACACTCGGCTACATGCACCTATTCGATGCCATGTGCTACGCGCCCGCCTCCTCGGTCAAGATCGGTGGCGTTCGCCACCCCATGTTCGCGATCGAGCCTGGCGTCGCCCAGTGCTGCCCAGCGAGCGGATCTGCATGGGCGATTGCGATGGACCCGCTGATCCGCCACACCGCCGCTGCCATTGGCCTGGACATTACGGAAGCCACCTCGACGAAATACTTGGGCGCATATGCGGACGACCTGGGCATCCTGTGTGAATCCACGGGAGTGACCGGCAACGTGACAGAGGCCTTTGACGCCGCCGCACGCCTCGCGCTCCTGTCCCTGAAGCCTCGCGGATGTAAGGCTGTCCTTCTTTGGGTACCAGCACCTCCTGCCACCATAGCCCGTGCCCAGGACCTGTTTTCCGCGCTCGCCCTTGCATGGCGTTCGTTTTCGGTCAGGGGCCGTGCCAAATACCTTGGGATCTTCCTCGGCCCATCGGCCTCCCTGGCCGACCAATGGCACGCCCCTGGGCAACAATGGTGGCAGCGTGCTCACTCGCTTCAGCATGTGCATTCTGGAAGCGACGCCACGGTTCGCTCTGCAACACGTCGGTGCCCTCTCTTTTAAGCTATGTGAGCCAGTTCTACCCAGTCCCGCATATACTGTACATCGCGATCAGCACATGTCTCATAAGATGCTAGGTGTGCCGCTGAACTCTTTTCCGCAAGGTGGATCTCTTCGCGATGGCAGGCTTGTCGCCACCGCCTGTGCTCCGTTCACTGCAGGTCATGTCTGTCGCAGCCGCCGCCCGATCAGCGTCTCGCACCTTGGCGGATCTGCGGGAGCCCTACTTCGCTCACCTCCGGGACACTGCATGCGAGGAGAGTACAGCTCATTCTTTCCATCGTTGGTTGGACGGACTGTGGTCTCCCAGCTTTTGGGAGCAACCGCGCGCGATTGTGCAGTTCTATGCCCAGCTGCGAGACGCGCAGCAAACCCCTCCTTTCACACCCGCCTTGATGCAAGAAGATCACCGCGCAGCGCTGGCGGACAAGGACATGGCCAATGGAGCTAATCCGCCGCGCCGCCACCACTTCCAACGTGCCTTTGCGGCCTCTGTGCGCAAGGCTGCACCCGCCTCGCCTGTCACCGCCGCCCTCGCAAAGCGGGCCGGCGCATGGGGCCTACATATCGACCCTGCACTACTGGCCGAGCGTTGGGAGTCGCTCACCAGTGCACTGAGCAGCGTTCGCCCGAGATGGCGTTGGGCGACGCTCAAGACACTTGCTGGCGGGTGGGCGAACACCGCCCGCATGCATGTGCTTGCGCCCCGCTTCTGCGCGTTCGGCTGCCACGTTCAGCCAGGTTCATTCCGCCAATACCTTTCCTGTCTGAGCTTCTTCTGGTCCCCCGACCCTCCGCCCCCTCTCGATGCATTGGGGCGCTGGGGTCTGGGCCCCCCAGCGGCTTGCCCGCCCCTGCCGAGCGAGTTGTCGCTCCAGACCACCATCCGACGCATCGTGCTTGCGTTCCATGTATGCAATAAGTACAGGGCGGCCGCTGCCAGCTAGCCGAGCGCACCGCTGGCCGCTGCCCGCGCTCTCGTCGTGCGCCATCCAACCTTTCCGCTCGGCGCGCGGCGGCCGAGCCTCTGGGGGCTCGTTCGTCTCAGGCTGCCCGCGCACCTCTTCCTCCTCCTCCTCCTCCTCCCCTTCCTCTTCCTCCTCTTCCTGCTCCTCCTCGCCCCCCTCTTCCTCCTGCGCCAAACCCGCGGGCCCGCGCAGATTGTCAGGGGCTGATGTTCGCTCGCTCCGTCTCGGTCTTTACATTCGAGATTTTTTTTTCTTTTCTCTCGGGGGGGGCTGCGGCATCTCCTGCTCGGGCGCGTCGAGCGCGACGTGCCCCCTCAAGCCCGATGCCGCGCGCGTGGTGACCTACGACCCAGCGTCGGTGATCAACCGCAGCCGTTTAGACGACATCTTCTGAGAGATCAAGAAGAAGACCGCGGTCGGACAGCAGGGTGCCCGTCTCCCAGAGCAATGTTTACCCGTCGAGCAGCGCGGCATTGGTAATCATGTTCCCCGGCAGGGTACGGCGAGTGGTCAAACGAGCATGCTGGAGTAGGCATCGGCCTTCATCGGCAGTTGTGTTGCGCGATGGCCGCGTATCGAAGAAATTGGAATCCCCGAGGGCCCCGTTTTGCATGGCCGTGGAACATGTTTTCGCGCCAAGACGGACAGCCGTGACGCCGCGCGAATGAGCGCTTAGCATCGGCCCAGGACCATGAGCAACCATCGGGGCAGGTCCGTTTTTTTCCCCAGAATCTGCTGGCACGGTCTTGCTCAGATCTTATCAACGAGTCCCCCCGCACGAAGTGCACCAGTGATAATGGTGGGCGCATAGGCAGAGTCGGCAGCGTTGCGGGACTTCCAAGAGCACCATGCCACGATGGCTGCCTCGCAATGGGGCGCCACTTCGTCGAGCCCCCGAACGCTAATGGTTCTTGCCTTCGACGTCTATGGGTCGACCGCAATCTATGTGCAGTGAATACTTTGGCCCCTCGTGAAGCTGGACCAACGCGCTGCAATGCGGGTGCCAGCGCGCAGCTTCGGATTGGCTACAGGCGCGCCCCTTTCGGACACTTCGCGTCGGGTGCGCTCCGGTCGTTTTGTGCATTTGAAAATGCAGGTTGCCGACTACAGCTCATTCAGTGCTGCCGACGGGTGGGCCATCGACTTGTGCAGATCAACCTGGATGCCAGGCTGCAGCGCCTCGGAGCTCCAGCAACATTGAGATTGGATCGTGGCGGACTGATGCAATACTTGTTGCGCGGCACGACTCGCGTCATGGTCTGCAATCGCCCCGAGAAGTGCCGCGCGGACTGTGAGCGGCAGTGGCGACAGTCAACGGCGCATGGTTGAATCGGTCAGGCGCGGCATTTAACGGGGTCGCTGCAGGGCGAGGCGGAAGAGTTTTCTGCCCCGCAAAGAGCGCAGCTTAGCAGGGCCTTGCGAAAGCAAAGCTTGACATGCTCCGTGAACGACGCGAGCTGCGACCACAAGTTGCGCAGAGATGGGGGCGCGATGGCCAGGGGCCGACCCGATGGATTCTTCAGCTTCGGAACTTGAGTGATGCCATGGTTCCTATTCGGGGCGCTATCAGTGGCTCGCGAGTTGCAGACAAACTCTGTTGCGCCATCAAGAAGGCCACCGCGCGCATCGCGGTGGCGCAGGCAGACGGACGGCGGGCTCGAACGGAGGCGCGCACTCAGGCGCGGACAGAGGAGGCGCGCGGGAGCACATCAGGCGGCCCGACAAGCCAAAGGGAAAGATTGGAACCAACAAGACGACGATGCGGCAGACCTGTCACACTATGATTGACGACGGCAGATGCGGAAGCACGTGTTTCACGGCACGCGGATGGGGCGCTCGCAGGATCACGAGCGCTCAGCTTCTCATCGTGGCTCGGAGAGCGCGGCGACCACCCGGTGATGAGCGGCGACCTGGGGCTGAACGAGATCTGCGTCGTGCCATTCGGGCTGCGGGCGAAGCGCAGAACAGGCGCGCCTCGCCGAATTTGGATCTTCCAGCCGAGGTAGGGCGCATATGATTTGTTCCCCATGTGGCGCAGTTGCTGGACATGGAGTTGGTCTGGATACACCTGCCGGCCAGATACAGCGCTTGCAGGAGCGATTGCTGAACCTTCATCAGAAAGCTCGGGCAAACGGTACAGCTTCTCAGCAAAAGCATGCAGATCAGTGTTCCGGCGCCCTCACGGGCTTCGGGGGCGCGCGATGGGCATGCGGGAGCGGCTCATGCAGCAACGTTTACTGTAGCGGCCCATTCACGCATCGGCCCGCGGACATTGTGTCCCCTCGCGCGCGTTATTTACTTGGGCGGCGCAGCGAAGGAGCCGCTGCTGCGCCGGCGACCATGGCGGAGCAGCTTCCCATGGGGAAAATACCCATATGCCGCGCTGAATTGCGACGCGGCCAAGCCTTCAAGCGCGCGAAGCACGACGCGAGTATCTTCCGGACCAAGTCGCAGAGCGACGCTGATTTTGTGGGCGATCGCATAGGCGGATGCGCCACTGAAGTCAAGGCGATCGATGGTCGAGTTGTTTCCCCCCGCGGCGAGGGCTCCACGCTGGGCGGCTCTTTGGACGCCGGTCTTTTTTTGAAAAGCCGCGCGGTGCGCCAATTGGCGATTGGCGGGCCGATGCATTGGAGCCTTTCATTGCAGGTGCCGTCGGTCGCTCGCCAGCTACGATCAGTAAACAGCAGCGCCAGCACCAGTAGATCCAGCAACAGCGGAAGCAGCAACGTGAGCATGTCCATACGAGCGTAGAGCTCAGATGTCTGGTCTGCATTATGCCTCGGTGTCTCATCTCATCCCTTTCTCGCTCTCAGTCCGTACAACTATCCTTCTCGCTAACCGTCCACCCGAATAGCCATCTCGGTTTCCGTTCGTTCACATGCTTGAGAATTGGCATAGTGTTGCTCGGATGCACTGCGAAAGCTCGTCGCACGCCAACACTAGTGTTGCAGTCTCATGGTTGCGGTCGTCCTGTCCTCGCATCTAACTGCCGTCTGGTAGCCGTAGTCTCAGGCGAGCGGTGGTGGACTAATTTGCAAACCAAGTTACACCATACCTGGCAAAGTAGCATTCCAAACGACTTTGTACAATGTTGAACAAACGCTGGTGGTCAGCAGCAGAGAGCAGTCAGCAGCAACAGTAGTCAGCAAGTGTAGCAACATCAGCCTCATGCAGCAGATAGCAGCAGCACGAAACAGCAGCTGCAACACGCAGCAGCAGCGAGCAGCAGCAGCAGCAGAAGGAAGTAAGAACGGCATTCATCAGGAAACAGCACCATCGTGTACCACTCGCACGCAGCAGCCAGCGCGCAGCAGAGCTTACCAGCAGGCCGTAGCAACAACAGTTTACCGAGTTACCAGCAGCTGGCAGCAGCATGCAACAGCAGCCTCTCACTACATCGAGCAACATATACTGACATATAGCACAAGGAAGCAGCAGCAACCAACAACATATGCTGAGGGATGGGCACGATGAGGGAGCTGGGAGCCGAAGCCTTCAGAATGTTTCAAGGACCTCTCCCGTGGGCCCCCTCCGTCACCCAAGCAACCTGCCAGCCGACGGTGTGACAGTCCAGCGCTTGCATGCTAGGGATCGGCAGGATCGCCGTCTTGGTTGATTGACATCGGTGTGACACACTTTGCTGAACAATTTTGGGCCAGCACGTTAATCGTAAAGACCATTCACCGGCATACACTAGTTTGCTACAGCGCTGGAATGAGCGCCTGCGTGAAGAGCGAAACTTGGCCGCTGGCCCTGTCATTGCTCAGCGAGATGCGGAAAGTGATGTTGGAGCCCGATGGCATAAGCTACACCGCAGGGATAAACGCGCACGCGAAGGGCAAGCGGTGGCAGTGGGCCCTGTCGCTGCTCAGCGAGATGTGGGAGGCGATGCTAGAGCCTGAAGCCAATAGCTGCAGCGCTGGGATGAGCGCGTGCGTGAAGGGCGAGCAGTGGCAGCGGGCCCTGTTCCTGCTCACCGGTTCGTGGGAGGCGATGTTGGAACCCGAAGTCGTTGATTCAACAGTCATGCTCGCGGCAGCGCGTGCGAGACGAGCCCTAGACAGGGGCCTCCCAACCGGAGATGACCCAAAGACTGCACAAGTAACGCCCCCAGTACAACCTCCAGACGGCCCCGAGGCAGTTCTCAAGGGCTCTTCTAATTCAAGGTGGCCCCAAGATTCCCCCAGACGGCCTCACTTCCCGCCATGGCGGGCTCAAGACTGAAATCTCCCCCAACAGTCCCTATCAGGGGGCCCGAGTGGGCCCCCAAGAAGCCCGTGAGAGGCCGACGACACGCCACCATACGCGTTTTCGATCATCTGTTTGGCGGCCCCGGCCCCGCCTTGCTGGCACAGCACTGGTCTGGATGGGTCCCAGACGGTCGCCCTCAGACTACCCCTGCAGCCCAACATGCTTAGGTCCCTCGACACGTCCTTGACATGCTCGCTTCGTTTCCTGTCCGAAAGGCCCCCCCCCCGGTTGGCCTTGAAGAGGTCCCCACGAGGCCCCAGCGAGGCTTGACTCATTCAGCAGACCTGTGGGTCCCAACCCTCCGGTGTTGGGTGCTGGTTCTTCTTATAAGGGCGCTGCTTGCGCGTCTCCTTCCGTCCTTCCTTGCTCCCGCCTCCTCCCTCCTCCTGCCTCATCGTTGTCAAACAACTTGAGCTCGAGCATGTTGCCGAGTCCTCGTCCTGTGCCTCCACGGGGTGCTTGGGGAGCCACACTTCAGCGCATCAGCTGTGCGCTCCTAGCGCTGACCAGAACAGGCGGAAGATTTCCCCACTCAATTGTAGCAGTGCGTGGGGAGTCGGACTATTTCCCAAGCTTGAATGGAACGATCGTTTTTCCATGAATCATTCGTGATGCTACAATTGCAATCAAAAAGGGTCAAGCTTCGTGTGCCAAGTCGGGAAGGAGGGCCAGGTACCAACCAGTTCCAGCTCCAGTCCCTACGACCAGCTCCAGTCCCAAGGATGAGACCAGCTCCAGTCCCTACGACATAAGGACGCCTCTCAAGAAGATCGAGACACAGACGGACAACCCTACCCGCAAGGCTGGCGGCACCAAGTTGGCGGCATCGGTTTCCTCGACGGTGGTGGCGGGGGGAGAGGTCGATGCGGTCAAGAGGGCTGTGAGTCTGTGGAAGGATGCCGGCCACAAGCACACGCAGGAGTTCGCGGCGTTGGTCTGCCTGAGGGACATCCTCGCGATTTCGGTCGAGAAACAAAAAGTCGCGGCAGAGGAGTTCGCCGAGGCGGAGCGCATGAAAAAGGCGGCCACGCAGGCCTTCGCTTCGCGAAGGCGGAGGGTGTCGGCTGCGTGGCCGGTCCTTTTCAAAAAAGGCCACAGCCGAGATTCCAGGTCACCTGGAACGAGGAACTGCCCTCGGGTTTGAACAAGCTTGAGTGGAAGGAGACCGAGAAGAAATACTTACAACACGTCTCCGAGGTCCTCCAGAAGGTTGACAGCGAGCTGGCGTTCAAAGACACCCGCATCTCCAAGATACTACAAAAGTCTGCAATGACCGCTTGGCCAAGAAGCGCAGAGTTAAGGTGGAAGGTGCTGCATCCGGTGCTGATCGCAAAGCTGGTGCTTGCGGTGCTGGACATACCACGGCGGCGGCGTTCGGCGCGGAGGCAGCTCCGGCAGACGAGGAGAGCGATGACAGCAAGGTTGGATGCATCGCCAAGGAGGCGGAACGACTGTCGGAGGCCAAGTTCGCGGCGCCGAGGGCGGCGATGGAGGCGCAGAGGGCGGAGCAGGTCAATTCCATGGGCAAGGGCGAAGGCGTGTCAAACCCCGAGGGCAAGGCCGCTGCCGCCGCCGCCAACGACGAGCTGTGACTAGGCTCCGCTGGGGCGGTGCCTGAAGGCGTCGGCCATGTCGCTGGCGCCGAGGAGCTCGGGCAGTCCAGGCAGCAGGGGAGCGGCCAAAGTTTACTCTTCTTCGCGAGGGTCACGTCCATGGGGGAAAAACGGTTGGCAGTCCTTGTCAGCCAGGAGCTGCGTTTTCGTTGGGGCTGGCTATCGCACTATTGCTAATCACGCGAATTTGAAGAATAATCATGTTTCTGCAGCTTTGGCGAGCCGTTCCAACGAGGGCGGCGCGCGATTCATGGCCAAACTGTCCTTTCAGGTTCACATTTGTCCAGCAGATCTACAGCGATGCGTTTTAGCACGACATTGACATCTTGATCGGGCTGTAGCTTGTGTTGGTGCATTTGGCAGAATGGCAGAATTTAGATGTCGTGGTCGCGCGCGGCCACCCGGTCGTCGACTTCGACGGTCCGCGGTTCCGGAAGTTCGGGGCCGTGCTCAACTCGCGCCAACTCCCCTGGATCGCGGCATGAGGTTTCAGCGCCAAGGAGTCACTCATGGGAAGGTCCAGATGTTCCGAAACTTCGCGGTGACCGGACCACCCTGGAACCCGGCGTCAGCATCGCGTGCGGCGCTGGGAGGCCAGTTTCAGGCATCGACCATGTAATTTGCAGCGCTGCCGTTCCGCTCGCTTGCACGTCAATGGAGGCGGCAAAGGTGCACCTCGACGTTTGTTGGGGTCCGCGCGTTGGCACTCGATTCCTCGGCTTCGGTTTTTAGGCGCGCAGCTGGCTGCGCGCGCGAATGCTGGAGGCGCTCCGCCCGCTGCCCCGGGTCGATCGGCCCGGGGCTTCACCGCGGGGGGGGTCGCAATCCAGCCGCTTGTGCCAGGAGCAGCTTAAGAAAAAAAGAAGCGAGTCGTCTGGCCAGGGGAAAGAATGTCGAATGTGATTTTTGAGATCAGCGCAAGCGCGGACACGTCGAGCGCGACGCCGTCAGCGCTCGGGGCTCCGACGGGCCCGATGCAGGCGCCTCGGGGGGCCTCCGAGCCAGACGGCGTCGCTCGGGCCCCGGTGACTTCCATTGTCGCATTTCGGATCTCGAGGAAGGCCTTCGGACCCACTGCACTTTGGGCGCGTTCCGCGCGGGGCGCAGGTAGGGGCTGAAAGTGGTCTCGAGCCGGCCGATGTCAGCGGCGAGGCTCGCACTTCGGACCATTCAGCGGTCGGTCCATCGTCTGGCGGTCGCGCCCTTCCGGGAGGGGCCGAGCCGAAGGGCGCGCGGATCGTCTTGCCGAAGTCCAGGGCCCAGCCCCCCCTCCCCCCTCCGCCGCCCCCCCCCCCCCGAGACTGCGGCCGCGCTGCGCTGCGATTCTGTCGAAAGCAAATGGCCGAGCTCCGCCGCGGTGCCGCGTGCTTTCGCGCTCCTGAGGCCACCTGGGCACGGCGCCGCGGCGGCGCGGGCATCTCCCTGCAAGCCTGCGCCGCTCCCCCCCTGGCTGGGCGCCCTCCGACGCGCGCGGGTTCTGCGGCCGGCAGCCCCTCCGAGCACTCTCATCCACGCGCGCGCCGCGGGCGCGAAGCGCGGACATCTCGCGTCGCGAGCATCGCGGCAGCCAGGGCCCTCGCGGGGCCAGTTCAACAGGGTGGAACGCAACCCGATGCTCGAGGTCGTTTTTCGCTCCTCCGAGGGCGCGCGCGCCCATGACTGCGGCTCGCGGCATGGATGGCTCGCGCATGCGCGCCGGGCGTTTCGCGCGATGTCGAGGCTCTACGCGGCGCCCCAGGGGTGATCTTTCATGCGCGCGGCGCGAGCGTGCCCGCGGCCCGATGAGGGGGTTCTCCGACGCGGTAGCGAACGTCGCGCCCTTGGTCGCGCCGCGGGGCTCTGGGGGGGCGCCGCCGCGGAAAGAGATTCGAGCGCTGGCGCCTCGCCACTGGGCCCCATCCCCAGCGCGCCAGTCGGCGATCTCAGCGATGAGCCTTCTTGGGAGGTTGCTTTCTCGAATGACCTTGCGACGATCAGGTGCCCCGAAGCTTGCCGCGCAATCTTAGGGGCGCGTGGTCTTCGAGAGGTCGCTAAAAAACACTAGCCCCGACCGCTGCCACCCCTGAAGCTTTCGGCCCGGCGGGGCTCCGCGAGCGCCGGGCGCCCTGACGGGGCCCGGCCGACGAGTTCGTCGGGCGATGGGGCGGCGGCGCGAGGGCCCGACGCAGCTCCGTCGCGCGCGACGCGCCTGGGGTCGCTTCTCATCCGGCGCCCCCCTCCTGGACAGGCGAATCCATGGCGCGCGCCGAGTGGCATCGGCCGCGCGCGGGGCCACCTGCGGGCGACGCGAGCGCGCCCCCCGGAGAAACACAGGAATGGGGATGCGTTTCTCGCCAGTTATCAGTCGGGGCGCAGCAGACAAATTCAAAACTGGCGAAATTCATCGTTCTCACTGGTGCAGGACGAGTACAAGTCGCGATGTGGCGGCGAACCCGCGGGCGAGGACGCGCGCGCCTTTGCGCGGCCTGCGTCGTTGCGAGGCCCGGGCCAAAGTCTCGCGGCAGCGAGAGTATCCGTTGGAAGCCACAGGTCTAGTAGCCGCTGAATGTCCATGGCGGGCTCACGCGGGGCTCCGGGTCGCGGCAGAGGGGGGCCCATCCTGGCGTCGGCGGCAGACTTTTCCCGCGGGGTCAAGGTTGCTGGCGGGGGGGGGGGGGGGAGTCGTGCGCCGCCAGTGCCGAGGCGATGGCAGGACGATAACAAGCAACGCGCTGGCTACCGCCACCCGGGAATGTGGGACTCGGCCTGAGAAGGCGCCTGCGTTGAGAAGGCGCCTGCGTTTAGCGCGCTGCTCGAGCCCATTGAAGATGATCAGAACAGGAAGAAACACATAAACACAAGGGGTGTTATTGGTTTTACGCCGGAAGGGGGCGTCGTTGAGAGGGTGCCTGGCACGGGCGCGGGGATCGGGGTGGCGTCGGTGTTTGGAGCTGGCGGTTTCCGCGGCAAGTGCGCTTAGCTGGTCGCATGTGTTCGGGGCGCGTGACGGGTGGAAAGGCCGCTCGCCAGCAACTGGCAGTCATCTGCCCGCGGGCCAGAACAAATCGTCGCGCGCTCGCAACGGGGCGCGGGAAAGGGGGTTGGGAAGAGAGCGCAAGTCTCATTCCCAAGAAGTCCCTTCGATAGGCAGCAAACAGTTATTTTTCTATTCATCTGTCGGCGCGCAGCGTTAGCTTCGCTTGCGCGCATCCTGGCTCCCTTCCGTTGCTTCATTTGCTTCTTTCTCGCCCTCCTCTTCTTCAGGTCCGTCCGTCGCCGTCGGAAGCCGTTAGGGGGCCTCTATGGGCCGACTTGGGGCCTTCTTGGAATGCTCCATGGCCGTCTTGGAGGCCATCTTGGGCGTCTTAAAGGCCTCCTGTGCCGTCTTGGGAGCCTCTTGGGGCCGTCTCGGGGCCCTCTTGGGCCGTTCTGGGGCCATCTTGGAGGCCTCTTGGGCGATTGGTCGGCGATCTTTGGGGGCTCTTGGGCCGTCTCGGGCCGTCGGAAGGCCGAGAAGAAGCAAATGTCAAACTCCGTCAAATACCTTTGGACAGTCAATGCTTTTTGCTTCTTCTGAGGCCTTCTTGGGAGCCTCCTGGGCCGTCCTGGGCCAGCTTTGAGCCAACTTCGGCCATTTTGGTGGGTCCCTGGCACGTCTGGCGCCGTCGGGAGCCGTCTTGGGGGCCTTTCTGGGCCGACTTGGGGCCCTCTTGAGGCGCTTCGGGGCCGTCTTGGGGGCCATCTTGGGCGTCTTGGAGGCCATCTTGGGCGTGTTGGAGGCCTCTTGGGCCGTTTTGGTGCCTTCTTGGGGCCGTCTTGGAGGCCACTTGGGCCGTCATAGGGCCCTCTTGGGGGCCTCTTGGGCGATCTTGGGGGCCTCTTGGGCCGTCTTGAGCCGTCGGAACGCCAAGAAGAAGCAAATCCCCAAATCCTTCAACAACCCAAGGAGAATCAATGAGTTGGGCCTCTTCGGGCCCTCCTGGAGGACCTCTTAGAGGCCTCTTGGGCCGTCTTGGAGGCCTCTGGGGGGCCTCTTGGGCCGTCTTGGACTCTCTTGGGCCGTCTTGGACCATCTTGGGCGGACTTGGAGGCCATCTTGGAGGCCATCTTGGGCCATCTTGGCCATCTTCGACGCCATCTTGAGCCGTCTTGGGGGATTTGTTCAGGACTTGGCGGGCCTCCCGGGACCCCGGCGGGACGGGCCGAAGCGCTGGGGGGAGTTCTTTTGGAAAAAGAACCAAACCAAAACCGAGAGGGTCCAGCACGCCAGACGCCCCTGCGATGAATCGACGGGCCGGCGGATCTAGTGGCCTTCGGCCCATCCCGCCACCGTGCCTTGGTTGTCGGTCTGAGATCCTTGGCGCCTGGGCTGCGAGTTAGAAGTTACATGCCTCGAGTGGTACTTGGGGCCTCTTGGGGCCTCTTGAGCGCCTCTTGGGTCCTCCTTGGGCAGTCTTGGGGCGGAGGAAGCCTCGGATTGTCGCTTCGGGCTCCCCCTCTTGGGCCCCCCGTGGGGCCGTTTTGGGGCCCTGTTGGGCCGTCTTGGGAGCCTCTTGGGCCGTTTTGGCGCTCTCTTGGGCCGTCTTGGGCGCCTATTGGGAGCTTCTTGAGCCGTCTTGAGGCGGTCTTGGGAGGCTCTTGGACCATCTTCAGCGCCGCGAAGGCCGAAACATCGTATATGGTAAAAGTGCACGTTTCCCGCAGGAATTTGACGAATCTGGCTTCATGGGCCCCTCTTGGGAGTGCTCTTGGAGGCCTCTTGGGCCGTCTTGGAGGCTTCCTGGGCCGTCTGTCAGGATACCCTTGCATCCTTACATGGGGCGTCGCACCGTCGCCGCGCATGCCCCCTCGCCGTCGTCGCCCTCGTCGTCGCGGTCCGCGCCCGCATCTTCCCCCGCCGCTGCCGCCTCCTCCTTGCCTCATCCTCGCGCCTTGCCGTATCCTCGCGCCTCGCTCCGCCCAGTTGCCATTTTGGCTCGTCCATGTCGCTTCGCCCTCGCAGCTGGGTTCGGCCAGTGGAGGCGCAGGCGCGCGCGGCCTGGGCGCTGTCGCGCACCAATGGGCACTATCCGATACTAATCGGCACTAATCGACACTATTCGGCTTGGGCGGCGACGCCCCAAGTTTCCATGATTGCGAACCGACAGCGGAGGCGGTAGTCAGGCGAGACCTCGCGTCTCCTTGGGATGCTGCAAAGGTACAGCTGTCTCCATTTTCGCTGGCTCCGGGGAGGTACCGCGGAGGTGGTAGTCAGGCGAGACCTCGCGGTTCCTTTGGGAGGCTGTGAGCTGCGGAATTGCCGCCATTTTTCGTGGGTTCGTGTGAGGTCCAGCGGAGGCGATAGTCAGGCGAGACCTCGCGGCTACTTGGGAGGGTGCCGATTGTGCAACAGTCGCCACTGTCGCTGGCTCCTGGGAGGTCCAGCGGAGGCGGTAGTCAGGCGAGACTTCGCGGCTGCCTGGCAGTCTGCAAACTGCGCAAGTGTCGCCATTCCTGTTGGGCCCCCGAGAGGTACAGCGAAGTATATTGTCCTCGCAACGTGTTCTTCCTGTATGGATCCCTCACAAAAAATGTCGCCTCGCGTGGAGAAGGGCTTGGGCATGTTTCGGTTAATGTATCAATGTGTTTGCTCTCTGTGCCGTGGTTGCCTAGGATGGCCTCTGGTGGGCCTTAGACGGTCCCAAGATGGCTCGCTCTGTTCTGCTTCTGTTGCTTCTGCTGCGGTGCTGCTTGAGCTGCTGCTGGTGCCACTGCTACCACTGTGGCTTTGGGGGTGAGCACGCCGCCACGAAAGGCAATTCATTACAGCGACAGTCCGGCCTTCTCAACTGATCTGCCCCAGATTCAATCCACGCGTGTCCGCTCCAGTCACTTATAGCGCGGGGATCAGCGCGTGCGGGAAGGCCAGGCAGTGGCAGCTTGCCCTGTCGCTGTTCAGCGAGATGCGGGAGGCGACGGTGGAGCCCAACGCCATAAGCGGGCCGATTCTTTTCCGCAGGCGATACCTGCCGTTACCAGGGGGAAGGGGCGGCGAGGGGGCTGGTAATGTCACGATTCGCGCCGGCGCCGTCTGGGAAGGACCTAACGCTTACAATTTCCAAACGGCGCCAGCGCGAACCGTGACGTTACCAGGTGAGGGGGAGAGGGGGGAAGGCATCCCCGGTAACGGCGGTCATCGCGAATCGTATCACAACGCGCTCAAGGTCCATGCTGCCAGTGGGTCGCGCGCGGGAGAGCTATTCGGGGGCCCAGGCGGGGGCACCGCCAGGGCTGCTGCGCTCGGACCGTGCTGCCAGTCTGGACGCTCCGAGGCTCGCAAAGGCGCTCAGGGTGGGCCCCAGACGAGCCCACGGTATTCTGCGACTACTCCCGAGAGGCTCCAGGGACCCTTCACGAGGCGAAGAGGAGGCCCCAAGAGAAGCACGAAGAGGTCCCCAGAGAGGCCGCAGACAGCAATAATCATCCAGGGCTGCTTGGTGACTAGCCGCTCAATGTTTGCAGGTTTCTGGGCTCTTGGGCCGAAGACGATGGCTTCAGAGGGCCCTGGAGCTGGCGAAGAAGAAGGCTCACAGTGCCCCAAGACAGCCGCCCGTAGCCCCAGGACGACCCAGGACAGCCCCGGAGCAGCTCGCGGTGGGCGACACACGGCGCCCGAGGGGAGCCCAAGCAGCCTCCAGACACCTCCTCCTCCTCCTCCTCCTCCTCCTCCTCCTCCTCCTCCTCCTCCTCCTCCTCCCCCTCCTCCTCCTCCTCCTCCTCCTCCTCCTTCTCCTCCTCCTCCTCCTCCTCCTCCTCCTCCTCCTCGGTCAACATAGACTCCAGGAGCGCCCCAGGACGCAGGCCCAAAGCGATGCTCAAGGCAGCATGAGACATTTCATTGGAAGAGCCATTGGCAGCAGCACGGCCAGCAGGAGCAGCAGCAACCAGCACCGCAGCCAGCACCGGCAGAACCAGCAGAAGCGGCCGGGCTTCGTTGACAGTAGCACGCAGCAGCAGCAGCAAGTATCAGCAAGCAGTTGCAAGTAGCAAAACCATGCACCAGCGACCAGCAGGAAGTAGCAGCAAGCAGTGACAACCAGCGGCAACCATCAGCAATCAAGAGAAAGCGACATCAAGCTGCAGCAAGCACCACACATTAGCATACAACATCAGGAAGTAGCAAGCGGCAGCAAGCCAAGAGATTGCACCTCTGAGCTATCGTGGACGATATATATAGATATAGATATAGATATAGATATAGATATAGGTGAACAATATATGTCCGATAACTCCCCGACCTTACTGGTGTGATGTTGTGCACCGATGAATCCTTGCTGAGCAGGGTGCATCGCTGGGCGAGCTCCTCGAGCTAGTCTGTGGTGATATGAGGTCAGGCAGCCCCTGATCATTCTCAACACGAGCTATCGTGGACGTGAGTCCACCTGTCGTCCCCAGTCAGTTACAGCTCCGCGATGACCGCGTGCGACGAAGGCGAGCAGTGGCAGCGGGCCCTGTCGCTGCTGAGCGAGATGCGAGAGGTGAAGCTGGAGCCCACGGCCATTGACACCTAACACTACAGCGCGGGGATCACTGGGTGCGGAAATGCTGACAAGCTGCAGCGGGCCCTGCCGCTGATCAGCGAGATTCGGAGGCGACTTCAGATCCCGATGTTTTTCCCTCTAGATGCAGAGTGCAGAGTGTGCCAGGCGGGTGGGGATGGGTTCCGCAAAAGGCGTCCAAGCTGGGGCCCCAAGAGACCACAATGCGGCTTTCAAGCGGTAAGCGAGAGGTCTCTGCCAACAGCAAATCGCAGCAGCAAGCAGCAGGAGCGAGCAGCAGCGAGCGGAACCGGCAGGTAGCATGAATTGGCAGCAGAACATATCAGCGGATAACAATAGGTAACCGCAAGCAGCGGCGAACAGCAGCAAGCAGCAGCAATTCACAGTCAGTAGCAAGCAGCAGCATGCGATACCAGAGGCAGCAAATAGCAACAGGTAGCAGCATCCAGCATCAGCGTGCAGCGACGGGCAGCGGAAAATAGCATCAGGCAACACCACATAGCATCAAACACCAGATGACAGAAGCAACATGCCACAGCAAACGTCAGCACATTTCGGCAACGAGCAGGGGGCGGAAGCGAGCAACAGCGTCAGACCAGACCGAGCATCAGCAGCTTCAGCAAACAGTGGCACTGGCAGCTGGCAGAAGCGAGCGAAAGCCTTGGGCAGCCAACAGCATAATGTAGCGACAAGAGACGGCAAGCCACGGGGCCGCGCAGGCGTTGTGGCGATGATGGCTCAGCGCTCCTGCCCTCTTTAGAGCGGCTGTCGTGCCTCGCTGTGTTGAACCCGCCTCCCTGGGAGTGGCTGTTCGCTCGGCTGCCGTGGAGTTGGTGCCGTGCAGTCGCGTGCCGCGCTGCGAAGCACTGCGCTGATCTAGCTTTAGTGCCCCTTTCAGATGTGTGGCTTCAGATCGTGGGTGGCTCTGCGACAGGCACGGACGGCTGCCCTCCTGGCGAGGGCAGACAGAGTTCCACAGACGGCGGATGGCCAAAGAGATTGCTGCAGAGGCAGCCACTGGGCATCCGGTCGCAGGGGGATGACCGTGTAAGCGGGCAGCTTCCACACGGGCACGGTGTGCGTAGCTGGACCCACGGGCACGGTGGGGGCCGCATCGAGGTTTTTTCTCGTTTCCGAGCCGGAGTGGACTGGATTCCCAGACCCCCGACGTCATGATTTTTTCATGACGTCGACCCCCAGAGGTTTGGACCCATTCCCCAGGACCGGTTTTTCATCCTGATTCGTTTTTTGACGGTCCCGAGGCCCGGTAGGGGCCCCCCAAAGTCGCAAATATGGAAAATCCTCCCGTCGTGATTTTTTCATGACTCGAGGGGGTCTGGGTTATGGCGTTGCGCATCAACGAAAAAAAGGATTCCTGCCGCATGGCGATCCTCTGCGCTGTTTTTGCTCCCCCATGCCCGGCAGCCCTCCACGGGCGCGGGCCTCCGCACGCCGGGCCCCCCGCTCGCTCGCTGGTGCTGTCCTGCGGTGCCGGTTCCGCCGGGCCGTCGACAAGCTGGGGCTCTCGCATGCAGTCGGGGCCCTGAAGAAGGAACCCTTTTCGTTGGGGAGGGGCTCCGCGTTCCTTAAGTGTTTCACAGCTTGCCCCAGGTTTTCCTGATGTTTTCGGTAGGAAATCGATGTGTAGCTTATGGAAAAGAGGGGCCTCGTTCCTTATTTAGGGTTCCTCAGGTCAACGCCCCGACTGTATTCTGTTGCGCCGTGCTGCATTGTGTCCACCATGCGCGTCCCTGCAGATGCTGCGCAGTGTGCGTGGAACTCGGCACCCTTGCACGCGAGTAGCCTTGCGTGGACTGTTAGCCCACCGCCCAACCCTGGTCAGCTATGGTGCTGGCATCAGCGCGTGCGAGAAATGCGAGCAGTGGCAGCGGGCCCTGTCGCTGCTCGGCGAGATGCCGGAGGTGAAGCTGGAGCCCGACATTCTCTCTTCTACAATGTAGGAGCCCGCGCTTGGGGGAACGGCCTGTGCACTGGTGTGGGGGTTCCGGCCCCCCGGGACGCCCTCGGAGCCCGACATTCTCTCTTCTACAATGTAGGAGCCCGCGCTTGGGAGAACGGCCTGTGCACTGGTGTGGGGGTTCCGGCCCCTCGGAGCCCGAAAAACGTTCTCGGCGCCTCCCAGAGCAGTCCTCCGAGCCCCGGACGCCCCCAAGACATCCCCGAACACATGCGTGGAGCCCCGAGAGGGCCACAGGCGGCCCCACAGAGCCCCCCAGGCGCCCCAAAATGACGCCGAGGTGGCCCCTGCACGCTCTGCGATCGCTGCGCCCAGGGCCCCCGACGGGCGAACTGTTGAAATGTCATCCGATTTGCGTGCGTTGTATTGGTCTGGTCTCCGCCTGACGGCACCAGCTCGCTGCGCAAAGGGCCCGAGGCACCTCCAAAAGGATCCCTGAGACCGACAGGAGAGTTCGATGCTCGTTTCGGGGACCTTCCTGGAGCCCACCTAACGGATCTGTTCGACCCCAGTTCGACTCAAGTTCGACTCAAGTTCGACTCAGGTTCGACTCAGGTTCGACTCTCTGGGAGCCTTTTTGGAGTCTCCTGGGGGCCCTCTTCGCGCACTCTGGCGCGACGGCCGCAGGACGGTCCCGACACTGCCCCAGAGGCGCCCAAGACGGCCCCAAACGGCCGCGCGGTCGCGCGGCCCGCGGCCCCGGCGAGGATCTGACCACCATGGATGACACGACCTTCGTCGGCATGATGCCGCCGCCAAACGGCTGCCGCCAGAAGCAGCAAGCACGGGTACACACTAGTCTGTACTACAATTCCGGGCGAAGCGCGCGCGAGAAGTACAAGCAGTGGCAGCGCCCCGGGCCGCCCAGAGAGCTCGCGGGCCGCCCGGAGAGCCTCCGGGCCGCTGCCCGACGGGCCCGGGAGGCACCCGGACCGCTCGCGGACTGATCCAGGATTCCCAGATCGCCCCAAGACGGCCTCAGGAGGTCCCGAAGACGGCCCAAGACGGTCCAAGAGTGTATCCGAGACGCTTAAGATGGCTTCAAGACGCCTTCAAGACGGCCCGAGACGCCTCCACGAGGCCCCCAGAGCGCTCGAAGTGTACCTCCAAGAGGGGCCGCAGAAGCCGAAATCGTTGATTTTCTTTGTTTTTTTCGATGTGTCTGGCCTTCTCGCTTTTTCTGCTTTCCGACGCTCCAAGACCGCCCAAGAGGCCCCCACGACCGTTCCAAGACGGCCCAAGAGGCCTTCAAGACGGCCCCAAGACGGCCCAAGAGGGCCCCAAGACGGTCAAGGAGTCGCCCAAGACGGCCCAAGAGGGCCCCAAGAAGGCCCCAAGAGAGGCCCAAGACAGAGACCCGGAACCGAAAAATTGAGGCCTCCACCCCAAGAGGCCCCCAGGAAGCCCCAAGACGCCCCAAAGAAACGCCGGGACGCTCCCAAGACATCCCCAGGAGGCCC